GGTTTGAGGTATAAAACAGTTTTTGCGTGAATTATTGCGTTGGCTGGTTTCTGAATTCCTCGATTATTTCTCTCCACTAACCGTTGTTCGAGACTTGATATTTTTTTCTTAGCCCATCAGGTGGCCATTAAATAACAATATCGACATCATACACTTAGGCTGCATTTTGTCATCCTATAATTTAATGGCTATACTTTGATAGGAAAATTAAAGGTACCCAGGTAGCCTTTAACTATTTGGTACTTCTAAAGTGCTTCACCCCTCATTCTAAAGAAAGAAAGATTAAAGGAAAGCAAAATTGTTACAAAGCATTGTTCCTGTTGAGGAAAAAAGAGAAACTTGTGTGAAGATAAATTTTTTTTGGAAGCTGCGAGCTGAGTCTTTTGACAATCTCCTGGTTTAAAGTGAACTGTTCCAGCTAACTGACACTAAGGGTAAATATCGTTCTGTTTATCTTTGGAATATTCCAATTTGTGGGAGGTGCATGTCAAGGGGGCTCGCAGGAAAACTCTTGATGTGCAGGGAGAGGAAAAAAATGTCTGATTTTATCAGAAAATTCAGTTCCTGTGTTTCTTTGGGAAAATAAATGCTGCAGGCAGTGGCCTATTGAATTCTGAGCTTTAAGAGAAGGACATGTGAATGTTTTCTTGTGGATGTGATAAAGAGGGAGAATTGTTAGGATTTTCTGTGCAATGTTCTTCATTACATGCATGGGTATGTTTTCAGTTTGTGTTGTTTTTTCTACACACGGAAACATTTAAATTCCTCTTTCTCCGTCTAGAAGGAAACAAAACTGCAATTTTAAAGCTTATATAATTTTTAAAAATTAGCACAAACTAATTGAAAAATTTTATAATTGATAATGAAAATTCCAGCTGATAATTAAATTTCTTGTATAATGAATGTACTTTAATTTCATTTTACAAACTTATGTAAGTGACACCTAAAATGAGTTTCATTGCTATCTGCCTACATATCTCTCAGTTGCATGTTTTGGTGTGGTATATTAGCTCCATTTTTGTTTTTTATCTTTTAGACATGTTAAACCTTTAATTTTCCAGTCAGCCCTGTCTTTGTTTAAATCAATACTGAGGGGTTATAGTGTTACATTCCATCAAATGGTTGAAAGACAAGGTGAAGTCTTTCTTTAATGAGTTGTCAGTGTGCAATTCATAAGAGGCATTGAAGTGTCTTTATCTCAAGACCGGGTAAACTCAAATACATTCAAGATTGTGTTTATAGTTTAATTTCATTCAGGAGTGGGAGATGGGAATTTCAAACCCACATGAATTATTAATATTGTTGATAAGATTTAAGTTTGTTTTTAGCAGATTATTATAAATATGCATAAATAAATAAACAAATATTAACGATACATGAATCCTTGCACATATGTATGCTGTGAAAATTGTCTATGCTGTGAAAATAGTCTACCACATTGTTTGAATTTCACCTTTAGTACATGCAGAGCAATAGCCCTTGTAAAGACTCAGAAATTGCATGATATGTCCTTTTTGTTCACAGCAGAGTCCCGCAGATATTTCTTGAGAAGATGTGCTTTAATTCTTCTGCAATCCAAATGCTGATATAGTGTCAGACTTGTACTTCATACAGTAAAGAGATATTACACATTTCCTAGAACATGGGTTATTTTTCCATTCTGTATAATTAACAGATAAAGAGAGCTGAACCTCTCCTATGCTCACTATAGTACATGTACAGTATTAGATATTTCAAGATGTAAAACTGACTTAGACTGAATTAAGAAGATGAAAAAAGTACAGACTTTTATCAAAATAAAAAAAAGAAGTTTTTCCCTATACTGAATATTATTTGTGATTTCAGTCTGTCGCAGTTTAGTTTAAGAAATTCACCTTCAGAGTCCTATAGTCGGCTAGTTGTCTTCTTGTTTAGACTGTCTTTTCTTTCAGCCCTGCCTCTCTCTTTTTGTTCTGTACCTTTTTCCTTTTCGTGACACTGTGGAGTTATTCAACTAATGAGCTACCCTCGTGTTGTAATGACAGAGAACAGTGCAATTATCAAAAGTTCTTATGCTTTAATAACAGGCTAGACCTTCACTCACTTCATGGTATTCTGACTCCGAATATAAGAAAAAAGAGAAATTAGAACAAAAAAAAAGTCTATACAAAAACGAGGGAAGATGTACATCATATTCAAATTTCTGAAAACAGTTTGCACTGGTTTCACTTTTTTGGATAGCATTTCACCTGCTCAATTTATCACACTGACAGCTGATCTGCTGGTGTTATCCAGAGAAATCCGTCGGAATGTCACTCGGATGTAAAGGTAGACTGGTACTGCCGAATATATCAAGATCAGATACCAGTTTATAAACTCTTCCAATTATTCATCGTAGGTAACTGGATCACCATAAATGATGGGTACAACTTCCGAAACATAAGTTCTTTGTTGCTCTGTGACTTCATTTATGTTTATTTTGTGTGTTTTTCATTTATTGTCCATAATTCAAGCAAAAGTAATTTCGTTCTTGTGGATATTTGTATATGCTATTTGGTGTAATGTATATATTTATGATACTCTGTTATTAGTATCATTGCGTTACCCGTTAGTTTCCGGTTTTTGAGCAGAATGTGTAACTGATATGACATGCTATCTTTTGATAAACGCACTTAAAAACCTCACAGAATTATAAAAAATTTAAACATTTAATGAGGAATATTCTGAACTTTGGTCAGCTGCCAAAGGAATTTGTTAAAATTCAGAAAGAAAATCCTGGATAGCAGTTATTGAGTTAGGCGTCTTCATTGGCAAGTCTCTATATTGAGTTCTGTGTAGATTTCTGGTGAATATCTGGTGTTCTGTTCTATAATTAACCACGTAGCATATAATTCTTAGAATTCTTGTACAGTCTTTTGCCCAAGAGAGTGATAGTTATATTGCTCGAGAAACGCATAACTTTCAGAAAGAAACCTGTTTTGTATTGTGATATAGATTCGGTGCCATACTTTCTTTTCTCTCATCTCATGATGGCTAAATCTAGAAACAAGTTCTTTTTCATAGCTGGCAAGTATGGTGTTGAAATTCCAGTCCCTTGGTAACAACAAACAGATGCCCCTCGCAGGGGTCTGAGGTCATGTGACCTGGTAGGCAAGCCAAACAGTAATTACTACATACTGAGTTCATTTTTCTTTCATTATAGAACCATGTCTGCATGTTTTTCCACTTGAATGAAACAGGAAATGCATAAAATTGAAGGGGAAAAAATCCAGATTTTCATCATGTTTTTCTCTGCCCCAGGGGGTGTTATGATAACTATGTTAATTCAGTAATGTGATATTTTGGGAAGGAAACAGGGAAAATGTTACACTTATTAGCAGGACAGGAAACAGGTCTTTGAAGAGTTCAGTTTTTACTTTTTTTACACAAGTTTCAAGTGTTTACTTAATTTCTGACATGCTGGAGACTTTTCCCACAGTATGTTTAACAACAGGTGTTGCAAGATACTAAATTTATATAGTTTGACCATCCAGAATTTCAATTTCAGTCAATTGAATTTGTATCATATTCTACATAGCTGAGGTAGCATATTTGGAAAATGATAGCAGCATAAATTGTATCAAAGTATAAATGCAAAGTAGTATAATTTTAAACCATGAGTGTAACTTTTTTTCATCCTGCACATGTAAAGTCATAAAGGCAGACCTTGATGAATGAAAATTGTGTCAAAGGCTCAAAGTCAGGGAATAAATTTATCATTTGAGATGAACAACTTCACTGGATAGTATTTTATTTCATGTATCAGCTGATCTTGCTGCCTGTAAGTTAGATATTAATATTATACATCAACATGTTTGAAGCTTTGACATATGTTACTGCTCTGAGATTTAGTTGCAGATTGAGATATAACAGTGTTGCCCAGCGTGATGATCAGTTGCATGATGCAGAGGAAGGTTTTGTTACAAATTGCTAAAATGCACACAATTCGTAGTATTCATATCAACAAATATTGTGCCTCTCAAAAAGGATCATCTTAATAAATGGCACTGATGTGCTGTCCTGCCAAGTCACATTGCATAAATGAGAATGCCACCTAATTATTTTCTGTCTGGATACCAGTAGTCTCCCTTTGATGGTGTTTTTATTACCTCCCCTTACTGTCTGATCCTAATGTACATTAGCCTACTCTAGTTTCATGCCATTGGAGGTGTGATGTATGGTAATCATTTTCATAATGGCCTCTTCGTCCCTTGGGTCCACTTCTGAAGCTTGCCGATTCTGGCGATTATTTTCATGGTTACTTGATACTTATTAATACAGTCCCTGTAGACTTTCTGCACTATTCTTTCTCCCTCATTATGCCTCTCCTCACTACTTTTATGTCATATATACACTTAAAATCGCTTCTCCTACATCTGAGGTAAATTTATGTGTAAATGTTAGACATATTTTTCATTTCAGGATGAGGTAATTAAGAAATTATTTATTTATGTCACTCGAGCAGTGATCTGTAAACAATTTTGAATGAAAAATGAGGTTTTTAATTAATTAAGCTAATTAGAAAGTCATGCATTTTGCTGATGAATTATAAAAATTATCAATTCAGTACCAGGTTTTTGCTGACAATTGGGTTTACACACGCCTTTTGTTTTCCTCAGGATCAGTGTTAAATGGATCATTGAAATGGAATTTATTCAGTGTGATCAAAATTGAACTCTGTGTAAATATAGTTACCAGTGTGGTGTACTATTGACATTATACACATTATTTAGCTCATTATTTTGATTCCACTCATCTCTCTGACATATGGTGTGTCATTCGGTAAATGGCCACTCTATGTACATGATGCTAATGGCTCACTTTCTCCTGCTGTAAGTTACATTCATCTGCCTGGCATAAATCGTTATCTTTTTTCAGCAGATGTTGTACAAGGACTTTCCAAATATTATTTCTGAATAATTTTTTTGTGTTTCAGTTCAAAAGTGTTTTTATGTTAAATAATTTTTTCCGTTCTTTTTCAGCTGCGGAATAAATGGTTGCAATGACGAATCGTAGCTATTCCAGCTCAGATCTGGGTGTGTCGGATAGAGACTTCTCCCCTCGTCTACATCACCTTTATTCCCCACTCTCAAACTACTCCAATATTTCCCATGATGCCTCATACTCGGGAAGTCACAATGGTGGATTCCACGATCTCTCAGTCTCGGAGCATGAATTTGCTTCACCAAGACACGACGCCATTTCTATAGGACAACCTGATCATAAATCTAGTGACTATGATGACTATTCTCATATTCACTTTCCGAGTAGAAAAGCCAGGGGTGGTGCTCCGGATCCACCCCTCAGAACAAGTAGTGTGATGTCCTTCAACTCTGACTACATGCAAAGGTCATACCCTTGCAACAACCAGCAGTATTATAGCCATCGCAGCAATAGTAATCAGCACAATTATAGCCAAACCAGAAGGAAGACCTGGACTCCTTCTCAAATAAAGAAAGAAATGACAGGAGGACTTCATGGGAATCTGACCCATGGTCATCTGCTGCCTGAAGGTCACGAGGTCAGAAGGTCGGAGGACAACGAGGTTGGACCCCCAAAGCTGGCTCCTTTCAGTGGAATGCTATCAAAAGTAAGTTTTAATTTATATTGTGCAGCTAATTAGAAGTTTCTTTGATGAATTTAGTCCAAAATATCACATCCATCTTCAAATGACAAATATGAAAATCTTACCCTTACCTTTATTTGTTAGGAACAAAATATTTTAGTTTTCTCATTTATTATGATTTTTTGGAGTTTAATTTTTCTTAAGTTAATGAAGGAAAGAAATGCTTCAACTTTCATACAATCAAATTAAAAGATAAGTAGCGTGAAATTAATGGCCATTTTCACGCCTGTTTGGAATACATGTACCTGAGGAGGTGTGCATGTATCAGCAGACATTATACTGGGATTATTGGCCGCCACCCAAAGGTAGATAAGGAGCTGTGTTTTAGTCATCAATCTAGCCATCAAACTGAAATTATTTATATACTGGCAAACACAAAATGGAAAAGCTCCAGGTTGGAACAGAAAGTACGTTTTATATAAAGTCTGCCTGTCTTCCCCTCATTTATACCATCTGTAAAATTTCTGGGTGGCATTACATCACCAAGATGTAATAGTCGTGAAAGTAAACACCACTGACCCGCATGAACTGCATTATGGATAAAACAAGTAGAAAGGTAAACAATTATTGAATGGGGTTAGCTCAATTGATGTAGCGATTCAATCCACACCTCATCTGAAAAATCACAGCTTTTTTCTGGTGTCCAAATATTTCCTTTGTGGGACAAAGGAAAAACCTGATTGCTGTCCCCCAGGGCCGGCTTGAAGTTTTGGGACCTGATCATTGCAGGTCCTGGGTCCCCTCTAGATATGACAATCAGATTAAAACTAAACAAACAAAAGATAAAAACAGTAAAATTCCCCTTCAGATAGAACCAGATTATAAGGCCATCTGACTTCCTGCGACTGGGGTGGGAAGGTGGGAATTTACTTTGTATGGTGACTTCAGAGAGGCCACTAGTGTATGGTGTACCCTATTCTATATGGTGGCACCTCTATGTTGAATCCAGCCACATCTAAATACTAAAGATGTTTTATTCAGTGTAATTGGCTTGCTGATTCAGCATGTTACATGTTTATGTAAGTATAGACTTAAGTGCACATAAGTATCTGTTGACAGTTGATTTTGAGATTATAAAAGGGTTCAACAACATCTGTCAGGTACTGATGTTGAGGATTGTATACAGTTTACCACATTTTTCATGTCTCAGGCATTGTGTAACTACAGGTACAATTAAATAATGTCCTTTTGGTTGAATGGTGTTGTGTAACTACTAAAAACGTCCTTTTGGTTGCATGGTCTGTCTGAAATTTAAATGCTTTCTCTCTATACAATGGATAATGTAAAATCACATATTTTCGTGGTGTCAAATTTTCCAGTTTTAAGGAAAAAATATTGGTTTTTCAGAGTTTTCGAAAACCAAATATTTCTATCAGTCATTTGGACTGATGACTTAATGCCTTCTACCAGTCCAAAGCATATTCTATCAGTCCGAATAAATTTAGAATAGACAGTGTATATTTCATGATGTTCAAAATAAAAGGCATTGAATTTGTTAATCATTTCTTCTTTGGGGATTCTGGGACTTGATTTTTTTAGTCATAATGCATATGAAATTTTTGAATTTTGAGGTGGTCATAAATTCATGGGTTATTCCATGCCTCGAAAACAATGAAAATTAACCCCCAACCCCAACCCCAACTCCACAAAAAATTAGTGATTTCACAGTATACGTGTGTAGAAAAAAAGGACTTTTAATGAAATATAATTTTAGCTATATATGCTTCTTGAATTCAGTCATTTTGTGATGGTCATGTGGAACAGCTTGTCTGCCTGCACTGCTGAATGCAGTTTATCAGATATTATGTCCATTATCATAGAAAATTGGGTGGCATTTGGGATAATCTGTGATTTTTGACTCAATTATAATCTCTGTCATGCCTAGTATTTAAGCCCTCTTTTCCCTGGCACATCTGGCCTGGCTATTTGCATAATGAATTCTGTGATAACCTGTATTAATTACGCAACACAGAGAAGATAACATGCCCATCAGGTCAGAAAAATTCCCCTTTAGCCGTCAATGTGTTATCTTGATTGAAAAAACATGCGGAATAATTAACGACCCTCATTATCCACCTTTTAATGTTGTGAAGTGGTTCTCTTTATTTGGGGAAACTGTGTATTGAAATGATATGCTCCTAAGTGTGAACCCTGCATTCCAGTGCTGACAAGAATTAGATTTGTTCATTAGCGCACGGCTTGTTAATGATGGAGTGCAAGTAAAATTAGGTCCAGGTTAAATCTGTTTATGTGTGTTTGTGTCAAAACAGTTTATTACATCAAACATTTGCAAGACTTGTATGTGTGTAAACTCGGATGAACGTCTGGATGCCTTTTAAGTAGTCTAGATGCACCTGAATGTTTTTTGACATAAATGTACCATATTATTAAGAGATTTTCATTTTCCAAGGTCAGTCATAGTCTAGCTGTCATTAATTTTGTTCCTTTAAGTATTCATATGATGTTCACCAAATTAGTTTTCAACTTCTATGATTTATTTTAAAATTGATTTATGTCTGAATTGATAATTTAAACTTTTTAGTTTCGTGAAATAGAAATTAATATAGAATTTTGGGGGTTCAATAGAGTTGTCCCCCTTGAAGTCTTATTTTTTGTTGTTTTCACTCAATATATCTTCTAAAATTTTCTTTGGTACTTTACAAACTCTTTAATGGTTTTTGATTTAAAACATCTTTTGTATGCATGGCGAAAGGATTTCTGCTCCAAATAAAACCAGGCACCAGTTTTCTATCCTTTTTGTGTTTTTTAACAGACACCTATCAAGTTTCACACATCTTTATTACAAATAATTGACTACTTACCCCAGGATAAAGGAAATCTCCATTTATTTTGTATTATTAAATAGCAAAAAGTCAGAGGTGTTCTGGTCATAAATAACCATTCTCATTGTTTGAAAATGCTTTTCTGATCCACAAATTTTAATTCTTCCAAAAAGGAGGATGAAATTTATGGAAGGGATTTACGAGGCTTTTGGGAGGTTCCGATGACCCGGGGGCATTTTTCCTGTTTTCTGTCTCAGTCTGATGGGTGAGTGTCAATGGATTATCCTTTTAATCACTTTTTTTGTTCTGCTAATCTGTAATTAAGCCATATAAATGCTGTCAAGATTTGGTAAGTCAATCACCCTTGAGTTAAGAGAACTGTTATTCCTCAGTGCTAATTTGTTGGTTTATTGAGTGCTGTCAGGATTACGACATATCTTTACTGAGGTGCTAGGTGCTTATAAAGTCAAGCTATTGAAAGAAAACAGTTTAAAGTAATTAAATGACTTCAAAGTTCATACTATAGTGTATAATACTGGCTTGTTGTGGGGTTTGATCATTTTTTGGTTGAATCCATATTTTTCATAATTTTCTTAGTTGAGTTAGATCTCAATATAATTAAGTGATAAATGAAGGTTCTACAAATTATGATAGAATAGAACAAGGTAGATGTCTATGAATTTACTAATAAATATTTTTTTCCCCAAAACTAGTAAAAAAAACAAATTCCCATGAAAGAAACCACAATAAGTGGGCTAGCCTTTTGAGAGGCAAAAAATATGGAAAAATCAGGCAGAGTCCCAAAATACTAGTATTATTTTAACAAATATAAAAACATCTAGATTTAAGGTTGCATGACTACGACAGATAAAGTTTCCTTTAGAATAATTCTTGCAGAATTATATGAATTTTAAAATATAATCTGTATATACACATTGTTTTCTTAATATTTCCTACTTATATTGTTCTGATATGTAAAAATAGATAAATCTGGCCGCGTTCCATGCTTATTGATGGATGATTAAGACAGGAAGAATTTAAAAGAAGTTTGTCATGCACACATATATACGTATATTTGATAATTTAAAAATATTTATCTCACCGTGTGGTGATAATACTGCATTATGAGATTATTTAGGAGGTGTAATTTATAGGTATAGCACCATGAGTCCCGTGTCTCACCATGATACCTTTGTGGTCCCACAGACAGACACAGGTATAATTGTCAGGCAGACAGAATTGTTAGGTAGACATCTCCTAATACCCTAGATTAAAAGACTACACGAAATATTATACATGTTTGTGATAAGTAAGAACACAAAAAATTAGTACTGTATAGAATTCTTGTTTGTCTGTGTAGTTTTTATTGGAGACAATTTTATGTAGTGTGAATACGGCCTTAAATGTGAATACGGCCTTAATGTATTCTTATTTTAGTTTAATGTCCTCAAAGGCCAGAAGTTGGATTTTGATAATGGAGGATTAATTACCTCACTTCTCCCCTACCCCTCCCTCCTTGCATACATTATTCCAAAATGGCTCAGAACATTTTTTGTTGGATTTTGATGGTCTTGCAGCTAATGGGTTTCAGTACATCATTTTGTTGATTTGAGAGGAAATAAGATTGAAGCAAGAGTTTTGTTGATTGTCACCTGTAGTTTGCATTTAAGCTTTGTCATGGCTCTGCTTTTTTAATCTATTTCAGGTTAATGGAAAGATCGAGCTCTTAAAAAAGTATAATTTTATGAGTATCAGTAGATATGAAGAGATAAAAGGGTTAATTTTAGAAGAATTTGAATGATACAGAAAGTTTTCATTGAGAATAGTGAAGTTTTAATGGTTTCTGAGGTGTGAAGTTGGAATGTCATGTAAAGATTGGTGGTTGAGATGTATCGATAATGGACTAGTAAAAAGAACAGGAAATACTGTCAATGTTATCTCTCAAGATCATCAAAATGTTAGAAATCTTAAATAAATTGTCTTTTCCCCAAAATACCCCTTTTACAAGCATTGCAAGAATAGATTCTTCAACTCAAGCATATCCATAAAATTGTCACAACAGGTTTATAACAATAATAGACAAGGCTGTATAATATTTCCATTTTTTCTAGACCATATATTATGATTTACTGTTTAGAGTGTTTTTTGTTGGCTTGTGGCTTTTACAAGAAGCAATAGAAC